AACACCGGTCAAGACTGGTAGAAAACTGTTGATGGATTGTGAACTTAATTGCTTATAATATAAGATGGTATTTTTGATATTCTATAATTATGTATTTGTTTACAGTCTTACTGAATGTTAAATTAATTAGAAAGACCTCATGGAGGCTACTTTATGGTCCATCGAGCCGAAAAACAGTGTTTTTGTGGAATTTTGGCACAATACCGAATTGGCCTGGTTGGCTTCCCACAAACGGGTCCTTTTTTGAAATGGAATGGAGCACCCGCATGATGCGCTAACGGTATACCCTGGCGGGGCACCAGTAGAGGATGATAAGATGAGTTTGACTCATCTCTACTAGTGCCCCGTCAGGTGGTCAGGTCAGTTGGCCAATCATGACAAACTCACCAGGAATTTCGACAAATCAATGTAAATTCAAGTCGAGATATATATCCCACGACATGCCAATGCAATCTGCTTAACTCTTCCTCCAGTTCAGTTAGCTTCTCGTCGGTCCGCAGCGTTTGGACGTTGTATGTTGTCAGGGCCAGTGGTCGACGTTTGTGGTAGCCTGGTCCTACCCAAGGATTCTTCGCATTCCATACCCCGACGTTTCCATGACCACTAACATGAAGACTAGCGGCGCTGCCGGGGACTGGTGGCCGGGACCCTGGGTGTAAATCCATTTGGGGGGATATTGCCATAATCGCCACGTTTGGCATGTGGGTTGGCGACCGCAGTGTGATGGTAGTTACTCAGTAGAACGCTGTTGATCGTCCACTGGTCGATGAATCCCATAGTCGCCTTCTACGAGATCCAAGGGAAGAGATGGGTTAGTGCGATTCTTACGGCGCCACCACGTTTAAATTTCGACCTTTAGTGTTTATACAAAAAGTAGTTTTTAAGTGTGTAACAAAACTTCGTTTGTTTAATAAAACAGCCATGTTTCCAACTGCCGTGGTCATTATTAACAACAATCGAATTTCGACCATTAGTGTTTATAAATAAAGTATTTTTCTAAATGTTTTATCAGGGTTACCGGAATCCGCGAGCAATCTTCTGCAAGACCACTTAATTTTTTTCGAATTGCGACCTATTGTATTTGTAAATATACAATTTATAAATATAAATTGCTGCGCAACCAAATAGATAATCCCGCAGTTGTAGAACGGATAGGATTCAATATCCCACCGAAATACGTGAGAAGTGTCACCCGTCGTCGTGTCCGACTGTTTGTAACCGCGTCGGTAGGGGGGAAAGGAATTGTTAGTAGTGTGGACTGATGATCCCATTGCTAGCAATGTACCATATCAGGTTGACCTCCACGCGGTTCCCCCTGGAAACCATCGTGATAAATTCCCGGTGAACTTATCACGATGGGCTAACTGACTTGACCACATGCTCATCTTATCATCCTCCACTGGTGCCCCGCCAGCGTAAACCGTTAGCGCAGGCGGGTGCATCATTCCATTATCATCCACTAAAAAAAAAAAACCACGTCGGTACGCACAAGCCACGCTAGCAATTCTCCCACTATGCAATTATTAAATTTATTTTTAGGTAAGGTCCAAGATGCTGACGTATATACTGAAGCCTTGCCTTCCATAATTAATAAAATAAGAATATTTTTATCATTGTATAGTTTAAGTAGTATAAATAGTTTTAAAATATAAACGTGTTGGCAATTAGCTGTAAGTTTATATTGTGTTAATTAAATAAATATATAAAATAAAAAATAAAACGGCAGCATTTGATAGTTTTCGCTATTCTGCTACGAAGTGCTGGAATAATATCCCTCTTTCTATAAAGGATTCATTAACTGTGCAGATTTTAAAAATAAATTTAAGAAACTACTACTCCTCACTCAGAAAACTGCGCTGTGATGTGTGTGCACTCCAAATGCATGGTAATGCAAGGTGTCAGCCTACTAGTGTCACCAGAACATTATGTTTATTTTATATTTCAGTGTGTAGTTTTGTTTGATATCTATTTATATATATGTCGTAAATGTTTACTCTATGTTATCCGCCTAGATCTATGTATGTATGTATATTATTATATGTATAAAGGTATCCGCAGAATACCAGCGTCGTGGCACCCCTTCACGACTTATGCTGATCGGAAACCTATTTGGTACTACGTAATTAATATAAACCGTATCTTCTTTCTTTTGCCTGGCCTTAGTCCATTTATTTAGGGTCGGCCCGTCTGGTCAGTCTTCGCCAGGACGTTCTGTCCTGGGTCGTCTGGGGTGTTATTTTGGCGCTTTTTATATCCCTCTCAATAACGGACATCCATGTGAGACGGGGTCTGCCGCGTCTTCTGGGCTGGGTACTTATGTCAAGCACTGTTCTTGTCATGTGGTCTGATGGTCGCCGCATGACATGACCGTACCACCTTACGTCTCTAAAATCTTCTCCTGTATGGGAGTCACCTTAAAACTACCTCGACCGTGGATGTTTTTAATGTGATCCAGCATTGTTATGCCACCAGCCCATCTTAGCATTCTCATTTCTGCGACATTGAGTTTCTGCTCTTGGTGCTTTTTCAGCGCCCAGCATTCAGAGCCGTACGTCATGGCCGCACGCACTGCCGCTTTATACTCTGCCCTTGTAATTAATACAAACTAGTATATAATTTAAAAATTAAAAATTCTTTTTATTATTGTTATGTACCAAATAAACTATTTTCTTTCTTTCTTAAATAAAGTATTTTTAAAGTGTGTAACAAAACCTCGTTTGTTTAATGAAACAGCCATGTTTCCACATGCCGTGGTCGTTATTAACAACGTTCGGTTGCTATCGATTGTGACCGCAGATGTGAGAAATGGAGCGTTACTGTTTATTCGGTCCAGAGACCCTCTATATATAGCCAAGCGAAGCCGGTATCGCCATTATACGCTTAAGGTGAACTGGTCTTTATTAAATGAAACTTGTTTTTTTAATTTCCTTTCCATTTTATAATATTACTAGCTACTTGCCCCGGCTTCGCACGGGTGTACACGTATTATATATATAAACCTTCCCCTTGAATCTATCTATATATTAAATGAAAACCGCTTTAAAATCCGTTGCGTAGTTTTAAATATTTAAACATACAGGGACAGACAGCGATTGCGACTTTGTTTTATACTATGTAATGATGACAGTCTGTAGAATAGAATAGAATAGAATTTTATTGACTCGTTTTTTTTATTTTGTGTTGGATAGTCCATTTTTTGAGGAAGGCTTTAAGCTATATAATATTACGCTACGACCAATAGGAGCGGAGCTGCAATGAAAAATATTGTAAAAGGTAGGGAAATGCAACAGCGAGCTCCCAAACCAATACAAACAGTCATACTCAAGAATATAAATATTTACATTAGGAATCGAACCTGCGATCATCGGAAGTAGAAGACAACTGATATGAATACATAAATATGTTTTTTTTTTGGAAATACATACATAATATTCATAGAAAACACTCAAAAATACAAACGATTATACTCATGAATACAAATACACAGTAAGAGGAATCGAACCTGCGATCATTAGGAAGTTGTAGACAACTGATATAAATATTTTAATATTTTTTTGTAAATACATACATTATATATACATATATCGTCGGATAAATAGAAAAATGTCAGTATTCAAAATGTACATTTTTGTTGTATCTTATAGACAAGCATTTAAAGTTTTTAAATTTGTTTAAATTATTTTTCCCTTTAAAGTTTTAAATTTACACAGAAATATTATATATAATTTTAAAAGTATTTAGATAATGATTAAGACGGCGTGGTTAATTTAAAACTTATATATATCTTTTATCAATAACTTATATATTTGTACCTAGCGAGGAATCGAACTGGCGACTATCGGTAATAAACCGCACGAATCTAGCACACTAAACCGCTATACCATTGAAGCCGTAAAAAACTATAGATAGAAAAAATATATATATTTTATCATAACATATAGGGTGGTCGTACCCCATTCGTAATCCCATACGCTGCCCATAAAACCTCTGTAACATCTTTTATGGTCCATTACCACAGGTAAATAATAATAATGATCACTTTATGACACTCTATCATAATTTGGATGTCTTTACATGCGTGTTTTTTTTTATTTACCTTTTTTATAGCCGCAACTGACTGATAGTTTGATGTCTTTATTTGTATTTTTTTATGTAACTAGAAACATCAATTGACGGCATATTTGGGCAAAGTTTTTATATTATAAAATGTTTATAATTTTAAACTTTCATGAATATTTTTTTTATTTACCTTTTTTATAGCCGTAACTAAAGGATAGTTCGATGTCTTTATTTGTTTTTATATTATGTAACTGGAAGCATCAATTGACGGTAAGTGGTAACCTATCTATCATGAACATTTCTCTTTGGTGGAATCTGAAGTAACATTCTAACACTCATCCCAAGACATGAGGGTTAATTTCGTCTGAAAATAATAGGTACCACTCTTGATATTTGACTTATATCAAGTTCTGTACAGATGTATCGAATCACAGCATTCAATGGTCATAGATTCGATTCTCGCACGACACATTTGTATGATTACAAGTGTTTGTTTGTTTTGGTTTGAATAAATATATCATCAATATTTATAGGAGTGCTTTTTGTAGCATATAGTACACTTATATTGTGGAATGAACTACCAACGAGGTTTTTTCAAGAGACTACAGTATGGGGTTTTCAAGAGTATATTAGGTATGGTTTCATAAGGGTCGGAAACGCGCACGTGACAGCTCTGGTGTCTCAGGCGTCTATAGGCTACGGTAACCGTTTACCATCAGATAGGCCGTATGCTTGGTATAATAGTATTTATTTATTTGTTTGCAGAATACGGTGTTACAAGTAGATCTTATAATTTGAATATTTGTCCAAGGTATTCAACCTGCATACAGTACAAAAAGATAACCTTAAACAAAACTAAAATTACACAAAAAACTAAAGTTTCTAAGGTTATAAGACCATTAGTAGCCTGAAATAAATAAGGCATAAAAAAAATCACTCACCAAGTTTGTTATTGTTGTGCGGATGTTGATGATGGTGCTGCTGAGGCTGTGACTGCTGCGGGATCTGCTGCATCAGAGCTGGATGAGGGAGCTGCAAGAGTTTCGCTGGCTCCAATTTTGTGGTGGCGGCTACAGGAATAGGCCCAGCGTTGGTCATCGTGGTCATGGTGGCAGCCGGCATCATTAAAGTGGACATTGTCAGCATTTTGTTATACCCCCCTATTTATATAAATTATATATCCCAATATATCTACTACCAATATCACTACACTATATTCATATTTAATAAAGTCTCGTTCAAATTAAAACATCAAAATTGTCGTTGAAAATAAAACAGCTACTTTGGCGTTTGTTTATTGCGTTTAAAAATTGCTAATGTTTACGATATATAATATATTATTTATATATTTTGTTTTGTATATTACACTAGTGTTGTTTTTGTTTGTTATTGGTGTTTTCACTTGACAGAATCACATCGTTTTCCGTTGTTTCACGGTTGTTGAATTACGCTTATATTTATTTTCTAATTATATTATTATATTTAATATCAATCTTATAACGCGTCTGTAAATTTAAATTAGTTAATTTAGTATAAAATAGTTTTTAATTTTAATTTCACTACGCAGAATTGTGGCCATTTCGTTGTTATAAAATTGCGATTTATGTTTTTAATGATAAATGTAATTTAATATAATTAGTTTTATTACAATATATTTAAATATTAAATATGAAAATTGTAATGGTTTATTTTTTTATTATATATCTAAAAAAATGTTAAGTAAATTTATTAGTAGATATATTATTTTATTTTAAGACTCTGGGTGGGACAGGTAATACGTCAAGGATTATTTTGATTTTATTTTTTAACTAGCTTTTGCCCGCGGCGTCGCTCGCGTTAATTTATCCCCTGAGGGGTGGAATTTATCAAATCTAGGGGATGACTACGCATAGTTGCTTTATGGATGCAAAGTATCAGCCCGATCGGTTTAAAATGGACAAAATTTCATACAAACTTTCAACCCCTGTTTTATCCCCTTAGGGGTAGAAATCAATTCTATCTTAGCGGATGCCTACGTCATTACATCTACCTACATGCCAAATTTCAGCCCGATCCGTCCAGTGGTTTGGGCTGTTGATAGATCACTATGTCAGTCAGTCACCTTTGAGTTATATATATTTAGATTAATAAGAAAGGTTAAGTTATTATTTATTGTACACACACATAGGAAAAAATAACAGTAATAAAGTAAAAGTAATGTACAAGAGCGGACTTATCTCTAAAAAGAGATTTCTTCCAGCAAACCTAGAATGTTATAGGATAATGTGGTCACTAGATCAACCATACATACGTGTACAAGAAAAGATAGAAAAGGAAAATACATTAAGATATCGTCGTATATATAAATTATGTTATTAATAAAATTGATTATATTGTCTGATAATATATTACTATTATTTGATGGGGTGGTAGACTTGTCTTTTCGGGTGAAAATCACCAAACAAAGATAACTATAAATTAATTATATTTTTGAAGATTTATTATTAGATTATATTCTTTACATCATGATAAATTCCTTGTGAATTCATCTTGATATGCTAACTGACCTAGCTTCATGCTCATCATATCATACCCCACTGGTGCCCCGCCAGCATTATCATTCATTAACAAAATAACCGATACAAACAATCCACTAGCCGTCGAGGACGATTAACCAAAAACCTACGAAGAACCATGTATAAAATCGAGATTCTGGTTATCAGGGTCGTATTGTATTAGTTGAATGAGAATATAGTTATGAGGTTACAATTATAAAATTATACAAACGAATAAAGTTTTTTTTCGAACTATTCTAACGCTGTTGGCCGCAGCTGGCGTTTACAGCTTCACCGGACGATAGGGGGCGAGTGCGGATGGCACTCCAAACCAAAGGAAGGACTTATGGAGCGGCTGAAGGCCAACTCTCGTATGACGGATACAACTTTAGTCTGAGGGCATGTATTCGAACCTTGGCTCAGGCCGTTCTAATTTCGATCCACGTTCGAATTGGACAGGGATCGATCGGAAAGAATATGTATATGTCTCTATAAAGTCTAACAAACACAACTTAATAACGCGTTGTAGAAAGTTATATGAATGCAATGATGGCTGGCTGATTCGCCATACTCGTGAACGGGTGCTGCTTGTGGGGACTGGTCTGTTCAGGTTACGACTGATTATTTAGATAGGTCACTCTATTCTCCCAAATTTGAATTTAAAAATGAATCTGTATTATTGTAACACTTATTTGAAAAGAATACGAGCTGAGTTTCTTGTCAGTTCTTCTCATCTCGAAATCATTTCTAACTGACGGTACAGTTGACATATCATAAGAGTCTGTAATCCGTAAGACTTACGTGAATAAAGATATTTCGAATTTTTTAATGGTTTAATACAGCGCCATCTAGTTGTACTAGTATAAAATAATTGACTGTAACACTCACGAATACTAACGGTTACATCTTTATCCTAACTAGGGTCTTCATATTTTTTCCCGCGTAAACATATAACAGTAGTTTTTTAGGCGGCACAGATTATGAAATATCACTGGCCACTAATAAATGAGGTCATTACTGCAGCGGGGAGCATAGTGCCGGCCGACTCGAAAAACCTCTTAATCCCCCCGACAGGGGGTGAATTGTTTATGGTGAAAAAGCGGCGCTTGTTACGCTCGGTTTTGGGACTTTTGCATTATTTTTATTAGACATAACACTACTCTAATGCTGTCCAGAGAGACCATGAACAAAATCTAGGTTCTGGAGATCAAGATCGTTTTGTACTAACTGAATGAAAACACAATTATGTGGTTACAACCATATATTGATTCAAGCTAATAAAGAATTTTTTTTCGGACTACTCTAATGCTGTTGGCCGCAGCTGGCCTTTACAGCTTCACCGGACGATAGGGGGCAAGTGCAGATGGCACTCCAAACCAAAGGAAGGACTTGTGGAGCGGCTGAAGGACAACTCCCGCCTGACCGATACGACTTTAGTCTGAGGGCACCGCTAGGGGTTTGATTTGGACGGGGGATCGATTGGAGGAGGGATTTTTTTATTTATAATGTGAGTAAATTCAACATTGTGGAATGTTATCTCATAAGAATGGTAAAATATTAGTTGATGGCCTACCTGACATCATGTTATCATATGATATATTATTATATATTGGTAATTAGCTATACCCGCTATTTCACCCGCATGCAGCCTATACGTTTTTCTAATATATAAGCTATATTACTGTGAAGTTTCATCAAAATCTGTGCAGCTGTTTTTGCGTGAAAGAGTCTCAAACATGCATCCATACTCACAAACTTCCGCGTTTATAATATTAGTAACATCAACTATAATTAAGACGCAATCCTAGCAAAGTTTCTCAACTGCAATGATGCCTAATTAACCGACTGCAAATAAATGTATGTCAATTTACGCTGCGGGGTGCGGTATGAGGGGTGGGGGGTGGGGTGTACAAATAAGCTTTAATGTCAAACAGCGTACCCTTTTTATTTGACATGACAACTGGGAGTCAAGTGTGGTTTGCAAAGAAGTTTATATATGTACAATAGCCGGTTCTATAAAAAATAGAGGTTGCTGGTAGAAGGGTGAAAATTAAGGAATGTATCCGTCATACTCGAGAACGGGTGCTGCATGTGGGGAATGTCTGTTCGCGTTACGAACACTGAATGGACTACTTTTGCAATAGCATATGCTGATGGTCTACTACACCAGGCGTCTGAGCGATGGCGACAGCTGGTCGACAAGATACTGTAGAGTCGCGATCCTCAGCAGTGAGGAACGAATAAGAAGAAGAAGAATGCTGATGGTCACTCTCAGATTTGAATTTAAAAATGAATCTGTTTTATTGTAAACTTGTACAACATTTATTTGAAAAGAATACGAGCTGAGTTTCTTGTCAGTTCTTCTCATCCTGAAATCATTCCGAACTGACGGTAGATTTGCGTTCATAAGAGTCTGTAATAGACCTACATTAATAAAGATATTTTGAATTTTGTATGTATTTTTAACTCTTGTTGCTTGCTGCAACACCGACCACAGCAATGTACCTGTTCCGCCTACACATCACCAAGGAGCAGGGCATTGTCGACCCCATACGGACCAGGAGTAACCTGACATAAGGGTGACGTTGAAGTCGAGTCACAACACGAGTTTCAAGGAGTTCGTGGTTCGGGTCCCCACGAACATGCTGCCCACCTTCATGAAGGAGGACTGCTGGCCGAAGGGGGTGTACCGGACCTACCGTGGCAGATTACCGCCGTCAGTTCCGTGATCACACAGACAATTTCAATATCTTAATTATATATTATTTCATATGTATGTTAGTCTATAAGGTAGCCTGAAATAAATAAATAACACAAGCTTCGGTAGCTCAACATGGGACTAGATGGCGCTGTGTGAATTGGAATTATTATTAATATTTTATACATATAATAAAAAATAAAAAAAAGCCACCCGATGCCTCTGCTGACGGTACACGAGTTCCGCAGTACGCATCCCGGGTAGGGCATTAAAAACGTGCCCAAGTTAGTCTCGGTCCCAATAATAATTACAGAATTTGCTCCATTGACTTGGTAATAGAAAGGGAATTCAAAAGTTTTTAAACCTTATTTACTTACATTAGAGTAGCAAATTGAAATTGATTTTCCTATGCTATTACTGTGCGGGCCTTGCTATCAAACGCAAGCTCATTTATATCCGCCAATTCGTTCTTTGATAATGGAAATCCGGTTTTTACTTTATTTTTTAAGTAGCTTGAATGGCTAACAAGTGGATGACCCACCGGATGGAAAGTAACAATCGTATTAAGAGTTATTAAGTAATTGTATGACATATTGTAAATTAAATAATGTAAATTTAATATTGTAATGGGTGAAAACTGTGATCGGTACAGCCTATGCTGTAAATAATATAATTGACGTAGTGGAGTAACCTGAAACAGTCATGCTCGCTATAAAGTTCAAACTTGTGGCGGCGTGGTGGGCCGGGTCGATGTGCTCCCTCAAATATGGTTGAGTACAATGATGGCTGGCTCATACGTCATACTCGTGAACGGGTGCTGCTTGTGGAGACTGGTCTGTTCAGGTTGTGAACACTGATTAAATTTTTTTTGTTCTTTGCGATAGCATATGCTGGTGGTTACTCTATTCTCCCAAATTTGAATTTTAATAACTGTATTTATCATAAACATGTTCCACTATTATTTGAAAAAAATACGAGCTGAGTTTCTTGTCAGTTCTTCTCATCTCGATATCATTCCGAACTGACGGTAGATTTGACATATCATAAGAGTCTGTAATAGACCTACATGAATAAAGATATTTTGAATTGAATTGAATTGAAATAAATTAGATTAATAATAACAATAATAGTCCACCGA